TAATTCCTCTCTCGTATATTTTTCCCCACTCATCAAAACATATAAAACCACTGATAAACATTATATCAATTCAACCACCGATAAACATTATTGGTTTTGATGAGGGGGAAATAAAAACTATTCGAGTGCGGAATTCTACCTCTGGACGGACCATCACTGTACATATCAAGGGCGAATATTTTCTATATACCCACTATACTCGGACATTGTGCTCATTTTTATTTATGTGCATCAGGAAGCTACAGGACATCGTCTTTCAAAACATTACCTACTCGAAAGAGAAAAAAAGAATGAATGCGTTACCCAGCACTTTTGAAAATGCCCTTCCGAATGCGTCTCTGTCCCCAGCACATTTCAAACAAAACTGACGCCCGAGCCATGTCCACTGAGGTATGTATGATTCTCAGAACAATATTATTCAAATGTTGAGATAGTGTATATTTTTATTGTGTTACCAAACGTTATCAGTAACATTATGGTTAAAAATCAATAATACTATAAGAAACATTTCCGCTATTTATTTATTTTTAGTTTAGCCTACAGCTATAGCTACTTTGATTATGCATTATCAAAATACATGTTACGTTACATTCTTATATCATTTTTCTGGTGATCCAAGTTGTCTATCGTAACGATTGACCAAAGAAAGTCAAACACGTTTAATTTGTTTATTACAAGATTGTTTATTTTATTATTGAAGCTTGAGACCGGTGGTACTGGTGGTCTGGGGTGCCTCGGAGTTGATAACACTTGCCAACGCTTGTAGCTAAAAAGGAAAAAGAAAATGTATCAATTTTTTTATCAACATATCATTTATACACAAGGTCAAACTAGCACAGATGGAGTTGCATGTGTGAAGTTGCAATGCAATTTCTCGTTTACTTATAGTTCTGTTTGTGTAAATGTGGGTAAATAAATATAAAAAAGTTGCATTATTAGCTAGCTGCTCTCGTGTCGGTTTATGCATTATGTATCAAGTCAGCAGCACAGTATAACGTTACTAATTCTGAGGCTGACGACAAGCTAAACTAATGCATAATTTGTAGAATTTCATATCGATTTATAGGCGATCTGAGAAACACAAATAAACCCTGCTAGAGGAACGGACAAAACACTTACTTACAGAAAACAAGTTTGTTTGCTAATGAAAATGCTAACATCTAACGTACTAGTAAGCCGGTAACAGACAGCGAGCATAATAATAAAAAAAAACAGACAATAGCAAACATCCCGACTCCCGAGGTCACAATTACAAGAAATACAAACATTAAACACAGTTTATTATAATAAAGATACTTACAAGTGCAACAGCAAGAAGGCCAGGTCAGCATCGGTTTTGCAGGCTTCACTTTCTTTCAGTTCTCTCTATTCTGAAAAAGCCGGTCCGTTTTCTCTTTCTTTGTTCCTCTGATAAACACTTCCGAGCTTTCTTCTTCTTCTTCTTTTACATCAGCCATCACGAAAACGTGAAGAATTCAATATCTAGCGTTACCTTTTTCTTATAGCTAGCCGGCTCCTGGATGGATGGGGACGTGTACGCATGCGTGTGCGCGTATAGTGCCGTAAAGCAATTCGTTACCTCGCGAGACCTGAAATCTCACGATACTTCCTAACACTGAGGCCGGCGAGCCGCCGGCCTAAAGTTGCAAGGGTGGTTTTGCGGCTCACAGGCACCAGGGGGGTGCGAGATGATCACCATTCAACACGAAATCAGTAATATTAACATTACAATGACTCCAAAGCTGTTCAGTTAAGGTAAAAAAAGTTACTTAGTTCTGCTTTAACTGGTCCCATTGACTTCCATGGTATTTTGTTTCCTACTATGGAAGTCAATGGGACCAGTTAACTGTTTGGTTACTGACATTTTTCAAAATATCTTCGTTGTGTTCAGCAGAAGAAAGAAAGGTAACACTTAACTGCACACTATTATTCATTATAAGCATGAGTTAACAGTTAATCATTTACAGAATTAATAGACATTAATAATAAGTTTCTAAATACAGCAATAAATGTTTTTTTCTTGATTTATAAGCATATCTATAATGTGTTTAATAATTGTAGTTTCATACTTTGTTAATGATCAATTAATAATTTCTTAATGAAGTATAGCATTATTTACAAACCAGTTATTTAAGAGTTGTCAGTGATTCATAAGATCACTTAAATGTAAGTTGAGGGTGAGTATATGATGACAGAATTTTAGACATTTTCAGAAAACATAATTCTGTATGATTTATAAGATTGTTTCCATGTAAATTACTGGTATTACTATACTGTTGGGGTAATTTGGTCTCCATAACCTAGGGATTACCAGTACAAACATCATTTTAGAAGCAAACCCAAATTACATCAAATACACAACCCATGAATTATTACAAACAAAATGTGATGTTGCAAAATGTGAACACTAAGATTCAAACGGGTAATGAAAAAGTTATTATTAGTTAACTCCTTCAGTTAACATGAACTAAGAATGAATAATACTTGAAGCCTAATGTTAATTTCAACATTTAATAATGCATTATTATATTCAAAAGTTGTGTACTAAAATTATAATGCATGTGAACTTGTATGAACAATAACTATAAATTGTTCTAACTTTAACAAACTATATTTGAATGAACTAATCTTAAAAAAGATTAATAAATACTGTAAAAAATGCTCATGTTTTGCTAATACATAAACTATTATTAACAAATGAAACCTAATTAAAGTGTTAACAAACCTGGTTAATTTTAGCTCTTAAACCTTTTCGTAGCACCAACATTAAAGAGGACAAAATGCTTACTTCAGCATTACAGTGAATATAATTTTGTCTAAAAAATAAAAATAAAATAAAAATGAAGAAATCCAAAGGCAAAAAAAGAAAAGAAAACCAAAATCATTTGTCACTGTCACGGGCGTGGGTGCAGGCTGAAGAGGACGAGGAGTCAAGATTCCAATAACAACAATATTTATTCTGAATACAGGACGGAAGACAGGTTTCAGGAACACGCAGGGTAACATTCAACATTGACCGACAAGGACAGAATGAAACAGAGGAAACTAAATACACTGAGGAATCAGGGTTAATGAGGTGAAGACAGGTGATACAGATGAACAGGACACTGAACGGGAGGCTGATGAGGGAGTGAGTTCAGGTGTGCAGACGAGAGGATCATGGGAAGTGTAGTGCTGGAGACACAGACAGGATGGTGCAGACGAAGGACTGTGACAGAACTCCCCCCTCCCGGGAGGCGTGACCTCACGCCGCAGAACAGAGGAAGGAGGGGGGACGAACTGGGGGCTGAGCGGGGCGTGGCCAGGGTGGAGCAGGCTGAAGGCGTGGCCAGGGCGGAGCAGGCTGAGGGCGTGGCCAGGGCGGAGCAGGCTGAGGGCGTGGCCAGGGCGGAGCAGGCTGAGGGCGTGGCCAGGGCGGAGCAGGCTGAGGGCGAGACCAGGGCGGAGCAGGCTGAGGGCGAGACCAGGGCGGAGCCGATGGAGGGAGGACCCCTGGTGGAGCCGATGGAATCGGGGCTGACAACACCAGGGGGCCGACTGACAGGGGCGGAGCAGATGGGAGAGGAGACCAGGGTGAAGCTGAGGGACAGATGACATATGGTGCTGAGGAGGGACCGAGGGACCATGGTGACACCGCAGGCTCAGGTGACGGAAGTGACGACAGGGGCACAGAGGGACACGGTGAGGTCAGAGGGAGTGAGGGCTGACGGGTGACTGGAGGGAGTGAGGAGTCCGACAGAACTGGGGGGGTGACATGACGGGGCGGAGCCAGAGGAAGGAAGTCCCAAGGTGAAGGGAGGATGACGAGGGAGCGAAGGGAGTCCGGAGGGTCGAGGGAGCCTGGCCGAGCTGGTGGACTGAGGGGCCATGGAGGAGCTGAGGGAGGTAGGAGCCACGGGGGAGCTGATGGGACAGAGGGCCGAGGAAGTGTCCATGTGGAGGCGGTGTGAGGTGACAACCGGGGATACACGGACCAGGCTGGTTTCGGGGAGCTGAAGGGCAGTAGAGTAGAGCGGGGACAGATGAGAGGAGGCGGGAGAGGGAGGCTGGGCGGGATCCTGGTCTCTGGCTGGACGGTCTCTGGCTGGACGGTCTGGACGGTCTCTGGCTGGACGGTCTCTGGCGCTGGCTGGACGGTCTCTGGCGATGGCTGGACGGTCTCTGGTGCTGGCTGGACGGTCTCTGGGGCAGGCTGGACGGTCTGGACGGGGCTGGTCGGAACCAGCGAAGAGGGGAGCTCGGGCTCGGTGAGGCTGGGCGGGACCAGCGGAGAAGAGAGCTCGAGCTCGGCGGAGCTGGACGGGACCAGCGGAGAGGAGAGCTCTAACTCGGCGAGGCTGGACGGGACCAGCGGAGAAGAGAGCTCGAGCTCGGCGGGGCTGGACGGAACCAGCGAAGAGGAGAGCTTGGGCTCGGCGAGGCTGGACGGGACCAGCGGAGAAGAGAGCTTGGGCTCGGCGAGGCTGGACGGGACCAGCGGAGAAGAGAGCTTGGGCTCGGCGAGGCTGGACGGGACCAGCGGAGAAGAGAGCTTGAGTTTTGCCGGGCTGACGGTGAGCGCAGGCTTTCGGGGGACCAGAATCAGTCGGGGCCGCCGAATTGGAGCGATTATCCCCCGAAAAGTCACTGCAGTCATGTCCATCTTAGCTTTTTGGGTCGGTCAATCTGTCACGGGCGTGGGTGCAGGCTGAAGAGGACGAGGAGTCAAGATTCCAATAACAACAATATTTATTCTGAATACAGGAACAGAACACGCAGGGTAACATTCAACATTGACCGACAAGGACAGAATGAAACAGAGGAAACTAAATACACTGAGGAATCAGGGTTAATGAGGTGAAGACAGGTGATACAGATGAACAGGACGCTGAATGGGAGGCTGATGAGGGAGTGAGTTCAGGTGTGCAGACGAGAGGATCATGGGAAGTGTAGTGCTGGAGACGCAGACAGGATGGTGCAGACGAAGGACTGACAGTCACCAAATGTTTTGAAGTAGTTGGAAAGTCCTGTTTATGTCAATGTCCCGGTGCTCTCCAAAGTAAATGTGAATGGATTTGTTCCAAAGAGGCAGGAAAGTCAGGAAAAAATACCTTGAGAAAAAAAAAAAAGAAAAAAAATTGTTTATAAAACAGATCCAGTCCATTATTAAATTTGGCTCAAATGAATGAAAGTGATAGATATTTTCCCTTTAAAGTTTTACATACACCTTGCAGTATCTGCAAAATGTTAGTAATTTTAGCAATAAGAGGGAACACAAAAATGTATATGTCTTTTTGTTTAGTACTACCCTGATGAAGCAGTTTATTCTGCAAGGTGTACGTAAACTTTTGACTGCTAACTGTTGATGAATGTGTGATGTGATGAATTACCTCATCAGCGTCACACATAAATTATTGGAAACATGATCAATTTAGCTCCCGAATCTATATTGCGTATAGCAACGTTACTATCTGCGATTAAAAAGCACTCATCGCAATATCAACTGCGGTGAAAAAAAATCAATAAGGAAAGCATCAAGATATGAAGAGTTCAGATGCAAAAGCCTCTAAATGCCATTTGAAATTTTCTTCTAAAATGATTTTTATCAAGCTTGTATATTTAAGTTCAGTAATTTCACTCAAATGACAATTAATAGGTAATCCTCATTGCCATTTAAATGAAATTACTGAACTTAAATATAGAAGCTTGATAAAAATGGTCATTTTAGAAGAAAATTTCAAATGGCACTTAGAGGCTTTTGCATCTGAACTCTTCATATACTTACTTGACTAATTATTTGCAGTATAACATCTCATCTGCAAACAGCCAAACGTGGCGCTCCTTTTGTTCTCTTCTTGTTTTCATTTCCTCATGCATCGCGATTACAGAAACACAACAGCGCATTTTTCAAACTCTAGGGAAGTAGTGCGTCATCATGATGTCTGGCGCATGCGCATTAAACACCGTGTTCATATACAGTATATTTTTGTTTAAACTTTTCTGTTTAAGTTGAAGTTGTTCTAACTCTTTGTGTTGTTATACTCTTTAAGTTCACAAAACGCTACTCTTTCAACCAACTAAAAGTCAATATTTTTGTTCAGTGTAGATTGCAATTAAATGTGTTTAATTGACTTTCTCACATATGTAAAGTACCACACATTACTGTTATGCTAAGACTCCTCTCATAAATTACATTTTATTGTCATATATTATGTAGAAAACTGACAAAAATGTCAACAATAAGTTGTCCTGGATTATACTGTATTGCAAATTTATTGGAAAAACACATTCCAAGTGCATTAATGCACACAGTCGATATATTCTAGATTAAACACATTTAAAATAAATGAACTAATTGTTTTTGGACAACACACTTGAGTTGAAATTAAAATGAATTACTTTCCATGTTTTCCATAAAAATTATTATTTTATTTAGTATATTAGTCAATTCATCAAAATACATTTCATTTAATAACTTTAATAACTTTACAACACTATAAAATCATAATTATTTAAAATGTAAAACTTAAGTAGACACAATTAAAAAGGGAATTTTTTAAAACATGCACTTAAGTGTGATTAGAAATATTAACATGAAAGTGTACTTTCTTTAACTAAAACTTAAGTAGACATTATTAAAAAATGATTTTTTTAAAAACATGCACTTAGGTGTATTTAGAAATATTGTGAAGAAAGTGTACTTAATTTAAGTTAAATTTAATTAGATATTATTACAAAGTGCATTTGTAAAAAGTACACTTAAGTGTGTTTATAAATATGATCACGAAAGTGTACTTTCTATAAGTAAAACTTAATTAGACATTATTACAAAGTGCATTTTTAAAAAGTACACTTAAGTGTGTTTATAAATATTGTCATGAAAGTGTACTTACTTTAAGTAAAACTTAATTACATATTATTACAAAAGTGCATTTTTTAAAAGTACACTTAAGTGTGTTTATAAATATTGTCATGAAAGTGTACTTACTTTAAGTTAAACTTAATTATATATTATTACAAAGTGCATTTTTAAAAGTGTACTTAAGTGTGTTTATAAATAATGTGATGAAAGTGTACTTACTTTAAGTTAAACTTAAGTGGTCTTTAATTGTAATTATATTATATTATCTGCAAATACACTTTTCAAAAAGTATACTTTCATGAGTTTAAGCACACAAAAAGTACACTTTCAATAGAATTAAGCACACTTCTTTTTCACAAGGGAATTCATCAAAATGCATTTCATTTAATAACTTATAACTTTAATAACTTTAAAACACTATAAAATCATAATTATTTAAAATGTAAAATTTAAGTAGACACAATTAAAAAGGGATTTTTTTAAAACATGCACTTGATTAGAAATATTAACATGAACGTGTACTTTCTTTAACTAAAACTTAAGTAGATGTAAGGCAGTGTATTGCCTTGTCCACTAGGTGTCCCCATAATACTATTATGTTAAAACTGATGCGAGTGCCTTTAGCGCTATTTGTGCCTCTCGAGATACCGTAGCGTTGATACGTGAGTGGTGCGTCATATTTTCCTCAGTTCATGTTTTCAACGTTATAGGTAAGCCACGTTAATGGTAGTGGGGAAAAAAAGAATGTAAAATATATTTGTTGTTATCGCACAAAAGTTCAGTTTATTGAGATATTTTGTGTTGTAAACGGTTAAAGACCTAAATGCAGAGAGTTAACATTTTTTAGTTTTTTTCCTATAGAATGTGATTGATGTATTGTGGCTAACGCAAAGCTTTGTGTGATGATATGAGCAGCATGAGCATGTTGTTGAATTGCACGTGCATTGAAATGTACTTTGCTAGTTTAAAACTTAAGCTGAGTTCATGTTTTCAACGTTATAGACGCTGTGCTGTGAAAATAAACGGTCAAGCCACGATCCCGAATTCTTCCGTGTCGCTTTCTACCACCACCCACGATCATCCATAACACAACGCAGAGCAGTAGAGGCGGTGCTAGAGGCCAGTGAGCGCGCGGAGAGAGAGAAAGAGGGTTACATCTTTGGTGCCGTGACCCGGATCGTGGCACTGCTAGACCTTTTTTCTCCTTTTTTTTGGATGCTGAACTATATTTAAATAATGAACTTGAATTCTTAACTGAACTGGTGTTTTTGGGGAAACATATCTGCCATCACTTCAATATCCTTTACAGTCTGCTGGGGATCCTAATTGTGATTGAACTGTTTCAATTTCAGTGATTTCAGTGCACATTTGATAGTTTTATGGACGAGAAAGAAGTTTAATTTTTAATTTTATTTTTTTTATTATTATTATTGTTAGCCTTTTGAGATTTGTGGAATTTATCTAGGATTGCGGTGCATCTGCTTGATAATCAGTGAGATTTAAGTTCTAACCGACAAGCCATTTTAGTTGATGAGTTAAGTCTCTGGGAAAAGTGGGTTACATTTTTGATTGGGCTGAGCTCACTGAAACACATAGCTTCTTTAGGACACATTTATTTCTCATTTTACATAGATATTCAGCACCTCCATAGAGCTTAATTACACTGCTATTTAACCTGCTTGCACACAGTAAACAAATTTGGATTTTAAGATGTCACAGACCTATACAAACTTACCACAAGACAAACAGTGCACCTCCACAAGTGCAGCTAGCCTCCTAACGCAAGCGGGGCATGCCACCTTTAGCCCGCCATCCCCTACGAACTTGCTCTATGATGACCAGTATGTGACGCCAGCCCATGCACGAAGGCTGCCAGGCCCTGGAGCCTCAGGGCAGGTACCGCCACTTTGCTTCGACAACAGCCCAGATACAAGACCAGGTGGCCTGATAGATAGGACGGTGGATGCCTCTGTTCGCAAACGCAGTAGACATGGGCCCTCAGAAGCTATGACTTTGCAAAATTCTACACATCATGTCTGTGTTGAGATGCCAGTTATGCAGCAGTCGCTCAAACCCTATCCAGTTGCCGCGCACCATCTAGCCCAGTCTATTACGCCTGGCCCACAGGTTTACCCAAGTTATCCGTATCCCACTTCTGTGCCTGCGCCGAGTTTTCAGAGGCCACCAGTGATGAATAGTACAGTTAAGCACGTAGCTGCTGAGCAGGCCTTTCAAGTGCGTTCTCCTGAGGGCACATTTCTCCCCGCTCCAGTTCCAGGCTATAGTGGAGCCATTCCGGCGCTCCCATCTGATTATGCATGGGCTCCCAACATAACCCTACACAGCCCTCAGGTAGCATTAGACCAGGCTGCCGCTGATGTCCCTATTGAGCGGTCTCCTCAACAGACGCTGATCCCAGCCCCCCACATCAGCAGGCATGATGACGCCCGTTCTCCAGTCCCTCCTCCGCCTGCATCTGTTAGCCAGTCTGCCCACCCGCACATGACACAATTTAGACCTCCTGATCGAGCAGTAGCCAACCACATCCTTCCTATGACAGCCTATGGGGGTTTCATGCAAACGCATCAAGTGAAAAATGTCCAAGTTTTCACTGGAAATCCAGACTGTAAGATATTGGTGGAAGACTGGATTGCAATATCTCTTGGAGGCAATAGAACTCCCAATGCACCTTCGCTTCTCCACTGTTGTGCGACACCTGGGGGGTGAGGCCCGAAATCTCGTCCTTAACCTACCTCCACATGATCAGACCCCAGAAAAAGCACTGGAGGAACTGAGGGCCGAATACAGCGACACTCGAGGTTCCTTAGACCCTCTGGCTGACTTCTATGAGCGGAGCCAGTATTCAGGGGAGTCTGCCTGTTCTTATGCCATAGCACTGGAGGCGAAGTTGAGAACAGTGGAGGAGAAGCAAAGAGGAGGTAAGCCCTTCCTGGATCGAGATAGCAAACTTACCCGGCAGTTCATGAGGGGTCTTTCTGATGAGGAGGTGTACGCCAGAATCGCACCAATGGCGCCCAGGCTCTTGAGCTTCCGAGAGCTGCAGGCAGAGCTCCGAAGTCTAACCAGAGAAACTAAGAAGTTTCAGACACGGAGTACAGCAAAGAAAACGTACGCTCAGGTGCATGTAACATCGGGAGGGGGTGGAAATACCAAGATAGACAGGCCTAAACCCACATCTGAATTATCTGAACTGACGGAAATGGTTAAGAAGTTAGCACTCGCTCAAGAAGAACAATTGGCTAAGCTGTCACAACTAGAGTTGAGAGTGACCTCTCCTCGCCTTTCCTCCCCAGTAGCTGTCCAGCCAGCAAAGGGAAGAGCCAGCCAGAATCCAAGCTTTGTCTGTTACCGGTGTGGAGAGCCAGGCCACACAGCCCGAGTGTGCCGAGCAGTGCTTCCGGACCCAAGCCTAGCTGAAGCCCAGCAGCCTAGGGTTCCAGCTGACGGACACATGCACTCTGCTCAACATTTAAACGCCTAGTACCCATGGCAGCTGGGGCATCCATGGGTACACAGCAAGGGCCCCAACCACCTGTCAAGAGGATTTGCACTGAAGGAGGGGAAACACCCATAGTGGGACCCAGGAATGAAGGGGAAGTGGAAGTCAATGGAAAGACATGCCGGGCTCTAATTGACTCTGGGTCACAGATCACCAGTATTACGCACAACTACTGGCAGAGCCACCCAGCTCTACAGAAGAAAAAGCTACAGCCTTCTAAAATACCAATAGAGGGTGCAGCAGGTCAGACCGTGCCCTACCATGGTGTCCTACACATCGACCTGAAAGTGCTGGGGAAAGAGCTAAGGGCTGTGCCTACCTTCGTTGTTCCTGATTCCGACTATCGCGCTTCAGTCCCTCTGTTGGTGGGAACCAATGTCATTCGAGCCTCCCGAACCCATCTTCAAACAGCTCATGGCCCGCAGTTTCTGTACCAGGTCAAAGAGAAGCATCCAGAGTGGTACACAGCTTTTCTGCAGGTGGGGAGTGCCGAGCAGAGTGGAATGCATGACGTTGTAGGTCCTGCTGTTTACACTGGTCGTACAATAAACATTCCTGCTGGGAAAGAGATGGATTTA